CTTGCTAATTATGCAAGTATATGATCTAAAAATGATATGATATAATCATCAAGAGATAAGGTTTCATATAGTCAAGTTAAGGACATAAGTTAATTAGTAAGTTTTTGAGTTATAAGCCAAGTCCTTAGGTGTGGAAATATTTTTGTAACCCACCTGTAGAAACCAAAAGTCATAAAAATATACGTTAGATAAAATAATTAGAAAAGTATGTAGTACCAGATATTTTATATGATAGAAAATAAAGATCTTGTAATTTGTTCTTAATAAATTTTAATGTGTTTTCTCATATTAAATTTATAATAAATAAATCCAAATCATGATCAATTTAAATAGTCAATACTAATTGAGCTAAATATTGTCAAAATGAGAACTAACACACTATGTATATTTAAAAACAAACTTATAAATACACATGATAATTCAAAGCCTATTGTCTTAAGAAAAGCTTTTGTCTATTTGTATAGTGTTAATGTATTAGTAGTACGTACGTCAATGGCGAATCTAGGAATTGAATTTATTAAAAAAATTCTATCCGAATTATTATATATCTTTGCCAACAATGCTAATACTTATATGTACAAGTTGTCTAATTAAACAACCCTGCTAGCATGTCAACTAAATATTTTATAAATATCATATATAATTAAATATAAAAAAAAAAGTCTTACACACAATTTTGTTTATATTTAATTATATATAAAATGTACAAAATATTTAGGTTAATGTCAACAGGAGGAAATGTACCTGATCTAAACTGTGAGAGATTATATTTGTAGTATTGGTGGTTAAGTAACCCATCATTGTAAAATAATTTTTTTATATGCTGCATAGCAGGCGTGGGATTAAGTTTGGATCAGGTATGTTTCCTCCTATTGTTAATGTCTTCTGATGTTCCATTAATATACTTTTAATACGTTAACCCTATAAAATAAGACAAGGACATGTGTTAGGCAAAATAAATATTCTTTTGTATATTATGTAAAACAGAACAATTTTCGCAAATAACAAATATGATGACTATCAAAATTAATGCAAGAATTGCACCATTTTCCTAATTATATAACTAGAAAGCAAATATTAGTATTATTGTAACAAAAGAAATATAAAAAGCCTTGTAATTAGCATAGTTCAGTAGTTAAGTTAAATAAAAATACAAAAAACATTAATCATCTCTTAAAAACTTTTGAATATCAATCCGTATTTTCTCTTTTTTTTTTTTTACTATACTTACTATATTTTCACCTCAAGCAAATTTATACATTTCGTTTTTACTTTACAATGAGTGACAAAAAAAGTGACCTTTCTAGCGAAGATTCTTTTCTATCTGATGAGGCCAGTGATAATATATCAGTTGGTTCTAGTAGTGAGGCCGCTTCAATAATTTCCCTAGAAAATCAATCACACGTAACAAAAAAAAGTAAATTGGTATATTCAAAGTATAAGTGAAAGTATATAAAATCTAGTTGGGTATAGAAATACTTTAAAGTAAGCAAGGATGGACAATATGACGTTGGTGAAGTTAAAATCCTAAACTTAAATAATTAAACAGTTAAATGCGACCATAAATTTTTGCATGACAATAGTATTAGAAATATGAGTAGTCATCTTCAAGACAAACATAATCTATATGAAAATAAAAATAAAGTAAGTTTTTTTTTAATATATATTTGAGTACAGCCAAGAAAAAATTGCACTTCAGACTTTTAATTATATTTTATATCAGATGCAATTCTTAATAAATTAGATAAATTATATCTATTATCAAATATAATTGAAAGTTTGAAGTACTATTTTCTCTTAATAGCACTTATTAATAATATTTAATTAATTATTATATAGAACCAAGATCATACTGTTCAACAAATATTGAAGGAAACTCTTGAACAGGTGAAAGTTAAAATGCATAAAGAGCTACGAAACCAAGAGATTTGGCAAGCAATTACTGAATGGATTCTTATTGATAATTTGCTAATTAATATAGTTAAAGAAAAAGGATACAAGAAAATGATAAAAATAGTTGATCTAGCATTTCAACTTCCTTCTGAAAAAAGGATCAAAAAAGAAATTAATAATGCTTATTCTCAAGCAGTTAAAAATTTGAGACTATTATTAAATAATACATGTGAATCAGCATCTTTAACAACTAATTTATGGACTGCTCACAGTAAGCACAAATATATAGATATAATAATCTATTGGTTATCAAGTGACTTTAAAGTATATAATTGTCTTCTTTGTATAGAATATATACCGTATCCGCATTTAGCTGAAAAAATTAATACTTTTCTAAAAAAAAAAGTATCAGAGTTTAGATTAGATGACAAAATAACTTGTATTATAACAGACAACAGGAGTAATATGGTTAAAGCAATTAGTTTGTAGAAGGAGGTTGAACGTTATCTTGTGCGGCCCATACTTTGCAGTTATCAGTTTCTCACATTTTCAAAAAAGTAAATACACATATTAAAAAAATAAAAAAATTAGTTAAGTTTTTTTACTAAATCTTCTAAACAAAGTGAATGACTTGACAAAGCATAACAGGAATATCAATTACATTCACAAATCTAAAGTAATATTTATTCAACTAATACATTAAGTTCTAGTGATAGTGATTCGAATAGTTTATTATCAGTAAATA